GCGTGTGGAGCGAGCCGCGCTCTCGCCCATGCCTGGCACATGCGTAAAAGCGAGTTGCGCCCCAAGTCCCAGCCGTACCCTCCTTAGCAAATAATAACAAGCCCGAACCGTCAGATCTTACCTGAAACATTGAAGCACAAAGTCTCTCTCCAAGTCCCCTGTTCCTGTTCCTCTCCCCCCTTTTCCGATTTCTCTCCCAGCGATGTGCTCGGCTCGCCACACCAGAGAGAAATGCAGGAGCTTGGCGAAGGTAGACAGAACAAAATACAGAGAAGAGTTGCTCCGGGGCTTTTAAACCCCTCAAGGCAAGGATCAGGATACAATTAGCTCATGCCTCTACCTCCGTCTACATCCATCTCCAAAATAAAACTTAAATCAGATTAACTGGTCACAGGGCAGACAATTGATCTCCTTCAAAAAATAAAGGTCTACACAAACGTATAGATAAATATACACGTAGGAAATTTGCCCCCCGATTATTATTATTTTTTTTGGTGGAAAAAACAGTCGTATTCCAGCCTCCAACTCGCGTTTTCCCCTCCTCTTGCACTGAAAAGCTGATTTTAATCGTTGTGATTAGTTTTGATGTAACGTTTCCGCGGGCGATTTCTGCAAATGGATGGAGTGTTTCTTTGCCAAAAGAGGGAAAAGCAGCAGATGATGATAATTATAAGGATTGTTGGTTGTTTCTTTTTATTCGTGTTGAGGGCTCGCTCTCCACTTTCTCAAGTTGACCTGACATTGCTGTAACACGGAGGTCGGCAACTTGTTGAGGGGGCTCGCTGCCCCGTCTGGTCGAAGGAGAGGTGATAATTTGGCCACCGAGCAGCGCATTTTTGGTTCCTTTGGCGACATAACGTCCCCAGTGACGTGGATAAAAATAAGCCCAGGCAATCTGCTTTGCCCCAATCAAGTCTGAATCAGCGCCTGGGGGTGATACACAAACTCATTTCAAATGCTCAACCATGCAGAATTGCAAAAAGATTGAAGGAGTTACACTGCCCTTGTTTTGTTTTTTTTTAATAGCTAAATTAAAGAACACAAAACCTACATTAGGTGCATCCCAGGACTTACAATTCAGGTTTATTTAATCAGCCTTCTGATCGTACCCCCCTGCTCCATCCTCTGCTTCTCTCCACCTGGCATGTTTTATAGGGGGGTTTGTGTAATTCCATTATTTGGCGGAAGTGCTCCGCAGAGCTAAAGAGACTGTAACATAAACACGTTTCCCCAGATCGCCGCTCCAGCGCCGACCTCCCCCCACCCCTCATCACTTCTGCTCTCCGCCTGGGTCTTTGTTCAGAGAGGTGGTGCCGGAGCCAGTGGTTATCTTAATTCTCTTTAGTCAGAGTGGGATGTTTGGCTCCAACTCAGGGGTCACCTCCCATTAGTGTTGTATCCTGGAAGGATACTTTCTGAAATGGTGTGGTTTTTGAGCACTTCACAGTTCATTAATTCAAAGACTTTGCTGACATTTCTGATGAAAAAGACCGGCCTGTAAGCCCGGGATACTAAAAAAAGGAAGGAAGGAAGAAAGAAACCCACTTAAATAGAGCCAGGCCTGCCCTGTGAGTACCTGCCGCTGGCAGCCTTGCAGGAAGGATGCTTTAACCAGCATCTCACCTCTAAGGCGAGCAACTTCTACAGAGGGAAGGGCCGCGCTTTAAAGAGTATAGCCCAGTGATGGCGAACCTATAACACGCGAACTCATTTTTTTGGTTGATTTTTCTTTGTTAAATGGCATTTAAATATATAAAATAAATATCAAAAATATAAGTCTTTGTTTTACTCTGGTTGCAAATATCAAAAAATGTCTATATGTGACACGGCGCCAGAGTTAAGTTAGGGTCTTTCAAAATGCTGACAGGCCGAGCTCTAAAGGTTCGCCATCACTGGTCTAGTCGGTCAGGTCAGGGCTGAAATCAGATGGAGACTGGTGTCATACTAAGAACCAGGTGTGTTGGCAGAATTTTAAAAACATGACGAGCTCATATGACAAGGGTATCTGATTTGAAAGTGTCAGTCTTCTGTAGGAGAAAAAAAGAGAATAGCTTACAAAATAACACAAAACCAAATCATTTCTTTTTTGCACATTCTCCTTCTGCCCCCGCCCCCCAAAGTAGATACAGCCTCTGATCTGCAATAAAACATTGTAAAGGTCTGCCGTGTCCCACATTCAAATGAATAAAAACTTTGTTCTTGCCCTCAAATGGGACTAAATGTAACCATGTAAGTGTGAGAAGAAGAGACTATGGAAGGAACATCCTCAATGATTGACATGACAATACATTGACAGTATGGTAGCCTATAGTGACTTGTTTCTTTTTCTTTTTTAAAAAAAATATTTGTATTGATTTCAGAGAGGGAGAGGGAGAGGGAGAGAGATAGAAACATCAATGATGAGAGAGACTCATTGATAGGCTGCCCCCCGAACGCCCCCTACTGGGGATCAAGCCCACAACCCCAGGCATGCACCCCTGATGGAAATCCAACCTGGGACCCTTCAGTCTGCAGGCAGACGCTCTATCCCCTGAGCCAAACCTTTTAGTCAAAGTCTAGGGAGTGCTGTGTCCTTGTCCTGGCATGAGAGAGCTGGGAAGATGCTCTGTGGGCCCCTGGTCCTTCGCATCGTTTTTCAGACGAAACGAAATTAGCAGCCTGCCCGAGGTCCCCAGCCAGCCATCGACAGGGCCAGGGCCAGGCCACAGAGACGGAGGGTGGGTACGGGGGGGAGGGGGGCAGGACCAGGCCACAGAGACACGAGGCCAGGAGAAAGGTGAGCGGTGTCCCCGAGGTCACTCACCTCAAGGGATTGTGCACAGTTCTAAGTTGTGCTGACGCGGCTTGAAAACCACCTTCCGGAAACCCCTAAAAACCTGTTAGCACATTCCTTTAAATGTCTCTGACGGCAAAAATCGTTGTCCTTTGATGTTTAACCTTTGAAACATCCCCCACCAAAAAAAAAAAATTAATGCCAGGTCTGGGAATAAGTTATATATAATGACTAAACATATTGAGGCTAGTTTTCTTATTAGTTCCCAAACGGACTAAAGACAGTTCTCACACTAATGTAAGCAATGGAATTACTGGGGCTTTGCCTCCCAATGTAACTGTTCCGAAGGAAATAATATTCATTTGAACAAATTAAGTTCTGAAATGTTCATCTTTTTTAGATGTTCTAATGCTTTAGAATGACACCACTTACAAATGCTGCTCTTTGAACTTCAGGCCTTGGCCATTTTAGAGAGACCCAACCTATTTGGGTGGTCAGTGAAGCTGTGGGGATCCCGTTGGCAAGCAGACCGCAGGGCAGGGCCTCGATTTATTGTGGTCAGGGACTTAATTTCCTCGCAGCCTGCAGGGGGCTCCACGTTGAGACTATGGGATGCAGCGTGAAGACTCGCTTGGCATCGGGCAATACAACGATGATTAAACTTCACAACCTTCAGACCAAAGATGATGACGACTTCTTTTACCATTTAAAATAGATTTTTGGTGAAATGGCACGTGCAAAGCAGGGTCCACATCTTGCCAAGTGCAAGATACGAACGTACCGACTTGACGTCAATTGTAAAACGACCCCAAAGTCCTTTCTATCCCGTTAGTACCTGTGCCAGTGAACTGCATTTTGTGATGTCGACGATGCTTTTTTGTTTTTGTTTTGCTTTGGGTTTTGTGCCAATCATGAGGAGCTTGGGGGAAAGAGCATATTAAAAACCCTTCTAACCACCTTTTCCATTCAGTAGCTGAAATGAGACCAGCAGCCTCCACACCACTAGCAACACGGAAGGTAATGGCAGTAACACCGTCGGGGAGAAAACAATCGGAAATAAAATCCCGCCCTCTGTTGCCATCTTCCAGGGTGAAATCAATGCGGGGATACTTTCAACTGGAGCCGGGAGCTGGGCGGGAAAAGTTCAGCCTCCGGCTGCTGGAGGGGGAAATGGAGGTGCCCTAAGGGGGGCGGCAGCCCCGCTAATGTCAGCACGCAGACAGCCCCGTTGGTACATTGTGGCCACTGAACCCTCAGATCACAAGGTCTCCGGACCATCCGGCTTTATTGGGGGGCGGGGGCAGCCCCTGGTACGTTCTTAGTGGCAATTTGACAGGATGTGGCCTTTAGCTGCTGAGGTGGAATGTGAAATTGAAGAAGCCAGACACCCAGATCGCGATTAAAAATCCCCCCCCAGGCCTAGCTGGTGTGGTTCAGTGGATAGAGTACTGGCCTGCAGACTGAAGGGTCCCCGGTTCGATTCCAGTCCAGAGCACATGCCCGGGTTTCAAGCTCGATCCCCAGTAGGGGGCGTGTAGGAGGCAGCTGATCAATGAATTTCTCTCATTATTGATGTTTCTATCTCTCCCTCTCCCTCTCCCTTCCTCTCTAAATTAATCAAAATA